TTTAGACTTCCCATCACTTTCAGTCCCGGTGATGATGGTCACCGGGACAAATAGAGTGAATCTCATCAGCGGACGCAGACAAAGATAAAAAACCCGACAGGGGATCTCCCCCTCCAATACACTGTGACTGCCTGTATCATGTGTGGCTGGTCAAGACATCCAAGTGTGATCTCCTCTGGACAGGGGGCTGATGTCCTCCATAAAGCACTGCTACATAAGTACACATACATGGGCCCTGCTCTGTACAGATGTCATTCTCCAGTTCACCACTAGGTGGTCTCTCACCATAGGAAGATCTTTCAGGATCTGGATGCCGTCACCGGGACCCATGTGTGCTATGTGGTTGAAGTTTGTGGGGTTGGAAATCAGTTTGTTTCTCATCTCTGGGTCTCGTAACATCTCCCTTGAGGACGAGGAAAGACAGAAGATGAATCAAAGTCGTCAACGTGACCGAGATAACAAAAAATGTGCCACAAAAGCCCATGAGCTTCATTTTTCTAGCACTGCACAGTTCAAACTTTAATCATAGTTAGTTACTCCAATGACTGGCCCGAGATCCGGCTGGTTATATGGGAGTTTGGTGGAATCCGATTAACATTTGTGACAAATCCAAAAGAAAGAAGCTGACAGAACACTCAAGTCTGCCTGGGACCTCCTCTACTGATGCGTTTTACCCAAAAATGGCCTTGATTGTAGAGACAGATGGCAGGTCTCCAACATTAACCACTTAAGTACCGGCCTGTGTATATACGCCACTTCTCAGCCCTGAGATAGTTTGACAATTACTCGGTCATACAACAATGTAACCCAAATAAAAGAAGCCAACAGCACGCCATAAAAAAAGATGCCTGCGACCTGCTCTACTGACACGTTTCACCCAAACCTGGGCCTAATTTTAGAGACAGATGGCAGGTCTCTAATTTTAACAACTTGAGTACCAGTCTGTACGCACACCTTTATTATGAGGCCAGTTATTAGCTCTGAGATAGTTTGACTGACAATTACTCGGTCATGCAACACTGTACCCAAAATTGATACCATATTTTTGAGACAGATGGAGCTTTCTTTTGGTGGTATTTAGTTACTTATTTAGGCCAAAAATGTGAGTTTGCTTAAATTTACCCACTTTAAACCCCCCACCCCCCATCTTCACCTTCGATCTGCAGTGATCTTCTTTCCTGCTGCATTTACAAACATTCAGCCCATTCAGGTCTTTCTCCATTAGGAATGGGGCGAGTGTTTAAGAACAATACTGCAGTGTGTATACTTTTGATGGCTGCGATTGGTTCACAGAGATCTCAAGGTATAGAACCATTCTAATTGGCTCTGTACATCATGCCTGTGATCTGAGCTGTCTAAGGGCATCTCAGATCACAGCCACTTATGGGCGTCTGATCGCGTGTTTGTGTTTTTTTTTTGGGGGGGGG